AAAAAAAAAAAAAAAAGTCTCACGGACTTTCCTGCCCCAACTGACTTTGAACCGTGATCCTCAGATCTCAGCCTCTTCAGTAGCTAGAAGTATAAGCATAAGCCATTAATGCCCAGCATAGCTTCATCTTTAGATTTTCAACTTTCTCACATCTGCAAAGACCCCTTTTCAATAGATGATTGAGTCCAGGGGTTTTATGCATCATCAGGATGTAGCCACCTCCTCATGGAGGCCACTGACAGCCCTCTGCATCCCCCCAGCACAATAGAAGCTCAGTTCCCCACCCCCATATTGTTTCCATATTGTCAGAAGACATGCCTGGAGCAGTGAGTCCGGATGCAACTGCTCTAGGTTGGGGCCATGGTTATTAGTGTTGTAAGCATTCAGGCTTCTGGACTGTGCCACATAGCTACTTATTCCAGGAAACCAGCCCTAGGGAAGGTCCTCATTTTGTTTGTATCCTAAATATCCCTCTGTGTGTTTCAGATCCCAGGAAAGAGAACAGGTCCAGTGCTATTCTCAAGGCCTTGGGAGTGACTCAACACAGGCCTCCATCCTGCCCTTAAGGTGACCTCAACAGTAGGTGCTACCAAAATGTCCAACCCCTTCCTCAAGCAAGTTTTCAACAAGGACAAGACATTCCGGCCCAAGCGCAAGTTTGAGCCTGGCACTCAGCGCTTTGAGCTGCACAAGAAGGCACAGGCATCATTGAATGCGGGGCTGGACCTGCGGCTGGCCGTGCAGCTGCCCCCAGGTGAGGAGCTTAATGACTGGGTAGCCGTGCATGTGGTGGACTTCTTCAACCGTGTCAACCTCATCTATGGCACCATCAGTGATGGCTGCACCGAGCAGTCCTGCCCCATCATGTCTGGGGGCCCTAAGTATGAGTACCGCTGGCAGGATGAGCAAAGGTTCCGGAAGCCCACTGCATTGTCAGCACCCCGGTACATGGACCTGCTCATGGACTGGATCGAGGTACAGATCAACAACGAGGACATCTTCCCCACCAACGTTGGTGAGTTGGGTGGCTCTCAGGATCTTGATTTCTTCCTCATGCTGGTGCTGCTTGCATGTGGTCCCAGTGACCTCAGAGCCTGAGCAGACATCACAAAGACCAACCAGCTGGGTGCTGGTGGCTCGTGCCTATAATCCTAGCTATGCAGGAGGCTGAGATCTTCGGATCATAGTTCAAAGCCAATGAGACTCTTACTTCCAATTAATCACCAAAAAGTTGAAAATGGAGCTATAGCTTAAAGTGGTAGAATGCTAGCCTTGAGCAAAAGAAACTTAGAGAAGTGCCCAGGACCTGAGTTCAATCCTGAGTTCGGGACTGGCAAAAATAAAGAAAAGAAAGGGGGCAAAAAAAAAGAAAAGAAAAGGAAGGACCAGCCAGTCTCTACTTCCTATTCTCTTTTTTTGGGGGGGGTGGGGATGTGGGGGGGGGATGTCAGTCATGGAGCTTGTCTTTTTTTTTTTTTGGTCCAGTCATGGGGCCTGAACTCTGGGCCTGGGCGCACTACCACTTGAGCCATAGCACCACTTTTGGCTTTTTTTTTCTGCTTAAGTGGTGCTAAGGAACCAAACCCAGGGCCTCATGCATATAAGGCAAGTGCTCTACCACTGATCCACCTTCCCAGCCCTGGAGCTTGAACTCTTGAGCCTGGGTGCTATCCTTCAGCTCTTCAACTCAGGGTGAGCCCTCTACTACTCGAGCCACAGCTCCACTTCCGGTTTTCTGAGTGGTTTATTGGCGATAAGAGTCTCACGGACTTTCCTTGCCCAGCCTGGCTTTGAACCGTGATCCTCAGATCTCAGCTGGCATGAGCCCCCAGCGCCCAGCCTGGGCAGGAACATCTATGAGACTCTTATCTCCAATTAACCACCAGAAAACCAGAAGTGGTACTGTGGCTCAAGTGGTAGACCACTTACCTTGAGCTGAAGAGCTCAGGGACAGCTCCCAGGCTAAGGTGATCAACAAAATTAAAAGGCTCATGGACTTTCCTGCCCAAGCTAACTTTGAACTGCAGTCCTCAGATCTCAGCCTCCTCAGTAGTTAGACTTACAGATGTGAGGGGCTGGGAATGTAGTTTAGTGGTAGAGTGCTTGCCTAACATGCATGAAGCACTGGGTTCAGTTCCTCAGTACCACATACACAGAAAAAGCTGGAAGTGGCACTGTGGCTCAAGTGATAGAGTGCTAACTTTGAGCAAAAAGAAGCTCAGGGACGGTGCCCAGGCGCTGAGCTCAAGCCCCATGACCAGCAAAAAAAAAAAAAATTATAGATGTGAGGCACAGGTACCTGACTGGAATGTCACTTTCTTTCCCCCTTTCATTTTGTTTAAGGATGGAGCCTAGGGCTTTGCATGTGCTAGACAAGCACTTAACCACTGAGGCACAGTCCAGCCCCATTCACTGAAAGTATCAGTTGAGGAGTTCACATTACATTAACACTCAGCTTTCACCTCTGTCAATTTCAGAACATTCCTGATTCCTGGTTCTGGTCCAAATATTGTCCCATAGTTCCAAACACTTGTTGCAGTGTCCGTTGCATGCAAGAGCCCACATGCCTCCCAGGACACCAAGGGAAAAGACTGGCCACTCAGGGCTTATCCCCTTCTAAGAGACATTGGCTCAAGGTGGTGGACAGAAGTCCTCATGGGCAAGCAACCTTGTATCTCTGAGAAAATCCTGACACACAGCCAAGGAAAGAACAGTGTATAAGGAAAGTATCACAGCTGGGTGCCAGTAGCTTGGAATCCTAGCTACTTAAGAGGCAAGAGATCTGAGGATCACAGTTCAAAACCAGCCTAGGCAGAAAAGTCTGTGAGACTCCTCAGTTTACCAAAAAAGCCAGTAGAGCTGGCTGTGGCTCAAAGTGTTAGAGTGCTAGCCTTGAGCGTAAAAGCTCAGGGAGCCAGGTACTGATGGCTCATGCCTGTAATACTAGCTACTCAGGAGGCTGAGACATGGGGCTGGGAAGGTAGTTCAGTGGTAGAGTGCTTGCTTTGCATGTGTGAGGCCCTGGGTTTGATTCCTCAGTACTACATAAGCAGAAAAAGCTGGAAGTGGTGCTGTGGCTCAACTGGTAGAGCACTAGCCTTGAGTTAAAGAGCTGAGGGACAGTTCCCAGGCCCAGAGTTCAGGTACCATGACTGGCAAAAAAAAGGAGGCTGAGGGGCTGGGAAGGTGGCTCAGTGGTAGAGTGCTTGCCTTGCATGCATGAGGCCCTGGGTTCGATTCCTCAGCACCACATAAGCAAAAAGAAAAAAGCCGGAAGTGGCGCTGTGGCTCAAGTGGTAGAGCGCTAGCCTTGAGCTGAAGAGCTGAGGGACAGCGCCCAGACCCACAGTTCAGGCCCCATGACCGGACCAAAAAAAAAAAAAGAATGAGGTTCTACCAGCAACAGTGGCTCATGCCTGTAATCCTAGCTACTCAGGAGGCTGAGATCTAAGGATCATGGCTCAAAGCCAGCTCCGATAAGAAAGTCCCTGAGACTGTCTCCAATAAACCACTAGAAAACCGGAAGTGGCGCTGTGGCTCAAGTGGTAGAGCACTTGCCTTGAGCTGAAGAGCACAGGGATAGCATAGCGCCCAAGCCCAGAGTTCAAGGCCCATGACCGACCAAAAAAAAAGAATGAGGCCCCGTTTAAGATCCAGTACTAGCACAAAAGAAGACCAAGGAGAGGCTGGGCCACAAGGGGACACAGGCAGGCTGCTGTTCTTGTCCTGGATAAAGAAGCTCCTTTCCAGGGATGATAGGACTCAACACTTGACTTCAGGAAGAAAGTCATCTTGGGCCGTAGGACATAAGTTTTGTAACCCCAGACAAGTAAGTGCCATACTGACTCTGAGCCTCATGGGTTCATATATTTGTGGTTCAAAGAAGGAGCATGGGCCAAGTATCGGTGGCACACAACACCTGTAATCTTAACTACTCAGGAGGCTGAAATCTGAGGATCGCAATTCAAAGCCAGCCCAGGCAGGAAAGTCCATGAGACTATTATCTCCAAGTAATCACAGAAAAAGCCAGAAGTGGAGCTGTGGCTCAAGTGGTAGAATGCCAGTCTTGAACAAAAGAGCTCAGGGACCATATCCAAGCCCAGAGTTCAAGTCCCAGGACTGGCAAAAACAAAAAAAGAAGGGAACATGGAGCCAGCCGTCCGGGGCTCATGTCTGTAATCCTAGCTACTCAGGAGGCTGAGATCTGAGGATCACAGTTCAAAGCCAGCCTGGGTCCGGTCGTGGGGCCTGAACACTGGGCCTGGGGCGCTGTCCCTCAGCTCTTCAGCTCTACCACTTGAGCCACAGCGCCACTTCTGGCTTTTTTCTTTTTGCTTATGTGGTGCTGAGGAATCGAACCCAGGGCCTCAGGCATG